ATCAGTATCGTAATCATTATCTACACCATCTCGTGACAATATTTCTAAGATATATAATATATTTTTCTAGTAGAATGTAACTTGCAAAATAGAATATAAGTTTTACTTTAGTTTTCTTCTTTATGTATTAACATTCGGAGCCGATGGACACCGTTGCTTGTGCTCTTTTATGTAACTAGGTTTAATATTTGTAAATTATCCCTAATAAACAAAAATAATAATAATAATATTTACATGTATAAGCAGCTCACATATTTACATGTACTTGCTAAAATTGGAACCCAAAAAATTTACTCGATTGTCAATTATTTATTTTTATGACTTAAAATAAATTTGGGCATACGCGATCGTTAGCAATAAATCTTTTCAGCTCAACTAGATAATTTTTTGGGCTTTTTGGCTGTCAATAAATTAAAAAGGTGTTCCTTCCTTTTTAAAATTGGGAAACTAATTAAAAATTTTCAAATTGCAGATGCACTATTAGAATTTGAAGAAACTGCCTACGATTACCAACCACACGTCCTTCAATCTGGAAATTTAACAAGAAGAACTGAAATCGTTGTGGGAGGAAGTAAGGACAGAATATCGAGCTTGTCTTGTTCGTCAATGCATCAGTGGCAAATCACGGCACCACAACTTAGACGATCATGCTAAAGTATGCGGATTGCTATAACGCTTATGCCTGTTGTGCAGCGTTAATAGGTGAACACATTCCCAACCTCACCGCATTTCAACAAAATTCTAATTCTACTGTCATAATGTGCGATGCAATAAAAATTTTCATCTTTGCCGTATTTGCTTATCTTATGCTCATAAATCGAAAAATTGTAAGAACAATTACACATGCTATAAATTCAAAAAACAGAATTATACTATACTTCATAAGGAGTATGATGGAGAGGAATAAACCACTTCCAAGAATCAACAGAGGTGAACTTAAAGCCATACGGCATTCATAGCAAAGTATGCTATTTGGAACTGCTCTAGGGATGTTTCACCAACACCAAAAACACAATTATAGCGAGGGCGTTAACAGATTCGGGATCCGAAGGGACCTTTATCTTGAAGAGCTTGGAAAAACTTCTGAAACTGTCGAGTAAAAGTATTAGCGCTCATGTGTCCGGCTTAAATGATGCCCCGAATACGGCATAGCACAATACATAAAGTTTGTGCTATAAAACTTGTTTCCCCCCGAAACAATGACTTCAGTGGATGCAATGGTACTTCCTAACCTGACGAGACAAATACTCTGGCGGATAACGATTTTTACAAAGTCAAACACATAGACATATTAATAGGTGGAGATTTGTACCCCAAAGGCATTGTTATGTGGGGTTAAATCCAATATTCTTGGTTCACTCATGGCATAGTGAACAACATTCGGCTGTATTCTGGCCGGCCCCCAGTTTGTTAAAAGTGAAAGTTCACTTAAAAATGAACCCCAAGTTGAAGAGCAACAATCGCAGAGTTTTCCAGGAATATGTCGAATTGGGGCATATGCATGCTATTACTTATGATCCATCAGAAAACTCGGCTAGCAGTTACTATCTGCCACATCATGAAGGTTTTGACCCCGGCAGCACTACGTCAATTGTATTCAACGCGTCTTGTCGCACGATAAATGTAATCAGTCACAATGACAGTCTCTATATTCTATATTTGACCTGGCCCTTTAACTGTGGTAGCGAAGATGGTAATGCAAGAAATTTGGTTAGAGAAAGCTGACTGGGAGGACCTATAGACAGAAAAATTTCTCAGCCAGTAGAAAAAATTTATGGAGAGTGATTCTAACATAAGTTCCATCAAAACCCCTAAGATGGGTGAATTATTTTCGAATCCCGAAATTCAAATTCACGGTTTCTGCAATGCTTCAGAGAAAGCATACGGAGCTGCAATATATTTACGAGTACAGGACGCAAGCTTTCAAGTCAATACACATACACTTCTCGCCAAAACGAAAGTTGCTCCAGTGAAAATCATTTTCATCCCCGGTCGTCTTAGCGAAAATGGTGGATTTTTTTTAGCTCAAATAAGTATTAACTACCAAGGGCTTTACCAATAGTTCTCGCTTGGCTAAGCAGACCTCCGTCTTCTCGGTCTAAATTTGTAGCAAACCGGGTGTCGAAAATCGCACAAATAACCCAAGTGGAGAACTGTAACCACGTCGATTCAGAAGCCAATCCAGCTTATCTAGGCAGTCGAGCCCTTTCTCCCAATGAATTAACGAATAGTAATATATGGTGGACAGAAACCAAGTGGCTCAAACAAAGCTCCATGAAATGGACTCTAAGAACTTCGAAACTACCCTCAAAGCTAAGTCCATTCGGGTACATACTACCGAATTTCTTCCAATTGAAGATATTTTGGAACGATTTTCCAATTTTTCTAAAGCAATGCGGGTAATACATCCACCCAAAACATGATGTTCTGCCAAAATCTGAAACAATTACGCCTGGAAAAAAATACACTTCGTTGAGGTACGACTTCTACAGGTCGCCCAAAAAGTACACTTCAATAGTGAATACAATGATTTGATGAACAAAAAGCCTAATACTAAAAGTCCCCTATCAAATCATTGAATCCTTTCACGGATGAAAATAGATTTCTAAGAGACGGTGGCCGGCTAGCTAACGCATCCTTCGACTTCGTCACCCAATTATTGCCCTCTACAATTGCCGCTTTGCCAAGCTACTTGTCAATTTTATTCATCACCTTTCTCTGCATGGTGGCAACCAGCTGGTATTGCGTCTTTTTCGGATGCAATATTTAGTAGTGAAGGCACACATTCGAACTGTCATACACAACTGCAAAACTTGCGTTTTGATTAAAAAACATGAGCAAACACACTTATACACTATGTATGCATCTTCGTATACTTTTCAACAAAGGCAATGCATTTGAAAGCTACTTTCATGGCAGCACTCTCAAGATTTGTCTCACGAAGAAATTGTCCGGATAACGGCACCTATTTCGTAGGAGCATCTAAAGAAATAAAAAGATATTTTAAAGCCGCCATTAAATCATGACCAGCACCATATCTACTTCAAATCTCTTCTGAGTTGACACTTAGTTCCTGCTGGAGCTCCGCATATGGGAGGCCTTTGGAAAGCAGAAGTGAAAAGCTTTAAGTCTCACTTCAAAAAAAAAAAATAAAAACACAATGAAATATACATTTGAAAAAATCTTAACTTTAACAACACGGATTGAAGCTTGTCTGAATTCTCAGCCTCTTAGCCCATCGTCGGACAATATCCATGACTTAACACCCCTTACCCCAGAGCATTTTTTAATTGGTGCTCCTCTTTTGTCGAAAGCGGAATCAGAAATCACTGAAAATCCGATATCCATAGTCAACCGATGACAAAAATTAAAGGCTATTAGCCATAGTTCCTGTCGAAGATGAACACAATTTCGCCAACTGCCTCACGAAGAATGGTGGAGAACGGCGTCCAATCCAATGAGTGGCTTTTAGGTAGGGTAGAAATGGTTTATGCAGGTACCGACCATAAAGTCCGAACTGTGGACGTCAAAGCCCATCGTGGAATTATCAGTAGACCAGGAGTCAAATTGGTGGTATTACCGCAAGAAAACTAATACAATTTTCTTCTTTTATTCTTCGGTAAAACTACAATGTCATCAAATATCTGCCACGTATGACTAACATAGCATCGGCTGTGATTATGTCCACAATTTCGCCAGATCATGATCCTTTACACGTTTGCGGGAGTCGTCATAGTGAGGGGGGGCATGTCAAAATTTTTTATTAGGGATGGATTGTACCCATTTATATAGCGAGACGCTTGCTTGGAGACCGATGCCCGCTAGCAGTCGCACCTCTGGTGAACAGGCGTTACAATTAGATTTCAGCGAACCCTTAAACCGAATAAGTCGGAGTGGCTCCACTGAAGCTCCATACAGGTTGGTTGCCCCATATTGCACAAGGGTTGCTAATGTTTCCATTATAATTAAATGTACAAACAATTATATAAGCACAAGCTATCAGGGCTAGCGCGTCTTATAGTTAAACAAAAGACTGTATATACAGTATATTAGGATCTATTTAGATAAAGTGGTAGATTTTTATATCTTTTAAAAATGTAGCAATTGGTTTTATCTTACTTTCGGAGAGGTATGGTAGATTGTTATGCATTACGATTATCAAAAATTTGCTTCCTTAGATTAGTGAGAGCAATAATATGTGGTTAAATGTTAGATTTCAGTTATTGCAAAACTAGCACGTTTGCTGTGGAGTTGAAAGCATAAGATGAACGTGGGTGAGTTGAGTGTGACAAAGTCTTAGGTGTATGAAGCAACTATTGGCTCACGTTAATGTACTAGTAGGAAGTTTTTAAGGAGCTTCCTCAGTTTCATTCCCAAGTATTTCAAAGTGGACTGGAACACAGTTGAGTTTTATCTTTGATAAAATAAATAATAAAATATCCACAGAGCTCTAAATATATCCGCCATCAAAGATGAGATTGATATCGCAGAACAATACTTAACAAAACTACACAGTCCTCAGCTAACACCTTGACATACGCATCAAGTCAAACCCGCCTAAAGGGAGAGACCACCAACCTTCTAATAAGCAACGTAAAGCCAGCAACCCACTCCCGTTTAGGGCTTTATGTTTTAGTTTAGTTTAATATTTTAATACTTGTCGTTAGGCAGATATCGAAGCGGAACCAATAAATATGCACTAATGTTAATAAAAAATTATTAATTACGTATAATTATTTCTATTCAAATATCTTTTGATTCCACTCACACTTTACTTGCATTGGCTCCAACGCGCCCTCTCAGGCACATAAAAACACATACCTACATTATAAATTATACTCTCAAATGTTAGTTAAGTTTTAAAAACTGTGTACACACACTTCATTTCTATATCTCAAATGCTAAGGGAAATGCTTAATAACTTTTAATGATGATGGGATCATTTTCGATTAGTTTTATTTAAATGTAAATTACTTCGTAAACATAGTCTATTCACTTACCCAACTTTATCCGAAAGACGAAGGCTTTCATCACATAAGCGACTATGATTGTTTATCGTTGATGATGCGTATAATTTGAAATCGTTATTGTGGTTAGATGCTAAGCGCTTCGTTTTTTGCATACTTATGTCATGCTTTTGTAGATTTGACGGGATGTAATTTTTTGAAAGTACACAATTAAAAGTGTCCTCCCAATATTCCTCGAACCATGGATTTCGTGTATTTGTTAAAGGGGTTAGCTGTGTCATGTATCTATCAAAATCTTCAATGATTTCGGATTGTAGTTCCACTGTTATAGCTCCTTCTGCGATATCTTCCAGCCCAACAAGTAATTTTTGTTGCTTTCCCCATCCATCGCTTGCGATCCAATGAAAAGGATGCGACAAGTTGGCACGCTTTGCCGCCAATAGTACACGTCGGGCATCCTCTGCCCTTGTGAAAAGTACCACTCCTCGAGCGCTAGGTTTTTTTTGTAGTTTCGCAATGATACTATCAAATATTTTGTCATCAGCTGCACTAGGCACCTTTTCCGAAGCAGCTATGCAAAGATTGCGTTCAGAAGCTTCTTTATGGAAAGCTTCAATGCCATACTCTCCATAAGAGCCTTCTGAGTGTATTGTAGAAACATAGGACCAGTTTAAGCATTTTATAATATCGACAAGAGCTATGGACTGAAACGTGTCAGGGGGGACGGTGCGGGCGAATAAATCGAAACGTGTTTTGTCCGATAACGTTTTAGCTGTTGATGCTGGAGATATTTGTGGTATATGAAATAGTCGAAGTAGATTAGCTACCTGAAGCGAAACGGAGCTGTAGGAACCACCAATTACACCAAACACCGGTCCTGATGAAGCGTTTTTTCTTAAATGTGGCACAGAAGCATCTGTGCACTCAAACGCTGACGCATCCAAATTATTTAAGGATGAGCGCACAAATTGCAGTGACTGATTCAAAGCATATGTATCACGAGAACAAGTATCAAGTATATGGACGCCTAACGTAATATCAGGTAGTAAAGTTGAGTCATCATTAACTCGATCGATGGCGTACAACATGGCTTCGAGTCGATGCACACCACGGTTATAGACTTTAGGTCCACACGGAACTCCCTCTCCTTTTTCATGTACCGGAAAAAGACCACCTAGTATGATGTCACCAGGAAGAATCACAGAAATCATATCTTGTGAAGACGGTGTAGAGGTCAATCTGACAAATTTAGTATTTATTGAAGAATCTGATTTATTAATGATACGTTTTCCTTCCTCATACCCTGTATAAATTGTCGAACGAAAATTGTTATTACTATTAATTTGATTTTTATCGGTGGTCGTTGTAGTTACGAACTCTGCGGAACATTTAGATTGAATATCCTTTAATATAATTGGAACTTCTGCTGTATCCATATATGTAAAACTTGCAGTCTCTTTCCTTTCTGCGCCGCACAATATCTGTATTTCTATGCTAAGGATAATTAAAATGTGAAATATCTCTCTTATTGAATATAGATGGAGCTTTTGGGCTGAACTAATAATTTTCGATTTAACCCACAGCAGCATATTGACAATTTAGTTTATTTCTTAGACTCAAGTTATATTAGTTTGTACGGTTACGTTTATCCCACATATGCTAACAATTATTGGAAGACTTTAATGGTGCATAAACAAAGGCTACTTGCTTTCCCGAAATTACTCGAAGAAAACTGTTACTCTAAATGGTGCAATCTGTAAAAAAAGAATACAATTTTCCACTTAATTACAGTAAAAAATAATCTGTAAAACTATCTTCTGGTTAGGGAAAGCGTTTTTTTAACGTGAGTTGTTGTATTTGCCGTGATTTTCGTTACATTTAATGAAAAATAAGACAATCCTAACTTAGTTGAAATGGCGGTCGCTTTATGCTCTGACATTCGGAAGGCCTGGGCGCAAATTGTGGTACGACCAACAACCAAATGTTATAGAAAATCCCTCCCGAGGTTGACCGCAAGTACTAAGGTAATTTATTTAACAACAGGAGACACTTCTTCCTTCAACTTCCATCAACTTCATCGTACTCTCTTAAAGGAGACAACATTAAGGTAAAGAAGTCACACAATAAAGAGTCACCTGGTCAGTTGAAGATTCGCCAATGCGCAAACCATACTTATAGGGTCCAATCAGTTTATTAATGGGTTTATTATTATTTTATAAAGTACTCTTGAAACAACTTTGATTGCGGATTGAACAGAGCACAATTGGAATTTGATCAGCAGGAATATACTCATCGAACCATATTCTTTAAAGAAGTCCTCTCGCTGCAAATGTGTGCCTAAAAAGCATATAAGTCGTTTATATTCGGTTGTATTGTAGGAAAAGATATAAGTTCAAATTTCCAAACGCAGTTAAGTAATAACCTTATTGCAAATTAAATTTAGATTTAAGTTATATACACATTTAAATATAAACAAGATTATCATTCCACTGCTTTTCCATACTTGACTGCAACCCTATTCCTCCTCCTTCTGCATTTTGTACAAATGTAATTAGTTTTTAAACATAAACTTAATTGAGTTTCGCTTCCTATCGCTGAAGCAAAACGTTAAAATTATTAATATGTATGTATTTCCAATATTTTTAAAGTGAAAGTGAACCAATAGAAAGGATCTTATGTTGTTGTTGTTGTAACCGCAAATTATTCCCCGAATTGGTTTTCGGGGAATATTGCGGGAGTGACAGTCCTTGGCCGGATAAAAGTCCGGGTCGTTCCGGTATAAAGACCCGACTGTCGCGAGAACTATTGGATTTTAGTCGTCTCTTACGACAGGCATACCTTACCACGGGTAAATTCTTGAGCCCCTAACCCGCGGGGGTAAGAAAGAATCTTATGTATTGGCGCCCTTACAACAACACAAAAAATATATTTTATATGTTTATACATATAAAAGTATTTTGAATTTGATAATATGTACATATTTACAAACGTTCATGTGTATATAAATCATAGGATATATTTAAGTTTAAGTGCAAACCTAAACTGTAATTATATACATATGAATGCATATTCGCTTTGCTTTCACAAGGAGAAACATGATCCAACATGAACTTACATCATCACGTATATATTATACATACATACACATAGAAATTCAAGAAAAATTAATTAGCGTTTGTGTCGTCGATAGGTAATCTTGCCCGTGGGATCAACACCACCGGAAAATGTAGTGTTCCTTAGGGTTTTCACAACACGAGCATTTATTTATATTCCACTGAGGGCTTTCACCTCACTGAAAAGGGGGTAGTAGAGGGTTTTCACCTCCACAGCCCTTGTGAAAAGCATTAATTGTTGTAGCGAACTATTAGTGATTTTATATATACTAATAAATAAAAATAATAAATTGTTGTAGCGCAAAATAGAGTGTTGTTAGTTTGGGATAACCTAGGCAAAGCCGGCAATGGAAAAACTCTGTGATTTATTTAATTAATTAGTTTATTTATTTGCTCAAACACATAACCATAAGTTATTTAACAACGATTGAACTTTGTTCTAATAACTTAAAATTAAACATAATAATAACTCTTAATTAGAAAATTAACGTTGTTCTTTTCTCTCTAAACATGTTTATAACATTAAGGGTTAGGGATTTTATTAAAGAAAAAGTAGTATTTTCTATATTTCAAGATTAACAATGAATAGATTAAGCAAAGTGATAGAGGAGTTCATTTCTAAAGCGTGTCTCGTTCGGGCCGCAACAAAAACTTCTTTTGTGTTTGCATGTTCACTTCCTTTGTCTTGCCTAAGCTTCCTTTCAATCCAAGCGTTGACAGTGGCATTTGTCGGCAAATAGTTGCATTATTTGAAGCCATGAGTTGCATTATTTGAAGCCATGGTTTGATGGCACGGTTGCATTCGGTGTGTGCCTACCCAGTGGGATAAGTCTGCAAAAGGAGGTGTTCCCCAAAACGGTTCCTCCACTAACAAATATTAGGCCAACGGAATGCTTTGCGCGGGAATTCCGTAAAATGAGGTGTCGCCTTTTGGTTTAATGCGGCGAGGGGAAAAATTATCCCAGTGTACTTGGTGTGCCATGGTGGTGTGCGCTATACAACCCGGTCCTCTTGGGTAATGAGGGCGGCGCCAAATGATTGGGCACCAATATACACTCGCAATAGAATTTTGAAGGCCGACGCATAGCTTGCGGCCGGGCTCGTAAGTGCGTGCCGGATCAGATTCTTGCAATCTTCCAAATTGGAAACATACGTTTTTACGCAGGCGTGCGATTTGCTTAAAAAAAAATAACGATATTTTTTTATAATCAGAGAATAGTTGTTTGCCAGTCGAGGCAAGTAGTGAAAGTTTTAAGCCAGTCGGGGCTTGTTTAAGGGCTGTCGAAGCCCAGTGCAAAATCAGTTTTTTTATATTCCTGTGGCGGAACCAGAGTTTGGCGTCGGCATCATCCGGAGAAGCACCGAAGTTGGGTACCCACATCCGACAGAGAAACTTATAGGTATCATTGTGAATATTCATTGTTTGCGTACTTTTTTTGTGCCGACAGTGTCCCTCTCCTCGTTACGTCCTCACCCATCCTTGTAGCATCCCACACCCAGAGCACAGTCACACATACGGGTTAAAGCTACTTCCGGCAGCACGGGAATAGTGCGAGTGGCTTCGTTACCAGTTCGGTTGGACCACACCTCGGGTGCACCCCAAAAACATATTTTGTTTTATTGTTTTAAGTAGTTCAAATTTGCTGTTAAATCGTTGGCTTGCTATTGCCGAGATCAACTTGGTGTTGTTTCTCTTCCTTGGCGAAAAGTTTTGTTATTGTAAGTAGCTAGCGACACAAGCCGTCTCCACCAAGCTGGTCGGTCGCTTTATTAGTTTTTGTCATCTCCTTTATGTGCGGTAGTTTGTTTCGACGTGTGTGGTTGTTGGTAGGCGTTTGACCAACAGCTACTGCAGGTTTACATATGTATGTACGTATGTAAATACGCACATACATATTGTAATTATAAAAAGTGGAGGTGACAAGCGCAACGTGCTTCAAAAGCTTTTGATCCTTTGTGGCGTAGCGTTCGAAAGACGAACAGTTGTGCCATTGTCTACAATTGGTATTGCTCATTCTCCGAGCATGCCGTTCACAGAAAAGGAGTCTTTTTAAGGTGTTGGCTCACTCCGGGTGATGGCGTTCAGTGCTTGTCTGGGCGAATTGCAAGCCCAAGTCAAAAAATCAAAACAATGTAAACAAAAATTCGATCAATGTATAAGGGATATGTTGAGTTCTTAATTAGCGCTCAACGTGAGTTCTTCGCAAAAGTTTATAAATATCGTAATAATGGTTAGAAAACATTACAAAAAAAAAAAAAACAAATTAAAAACAAAAATCGAAACCATAAAAAAGCACAGTAATTAGAAACAAAATCCTTAACAAAACATCTTAAGTCAAAAACAAACAACAAGTGCGCGCAGAGTAGACTTGTACACAAAGATTTGCTAAATATGGTAAAAAAAATTAATTATTTTGAGTAAAAAAATTTTGAAAGTGAAAGCACAAGCCATTGGTGCAATACTGTATTGCGTATCGCCATTCAATTTTCCAATTGCGGTCGCCCCTCGGTCGACATGTCAACCCCTCCGAGTGTATTTCTGACATGAGGTCTTCACAAAAACCCATCAGCCGCTCGGAAGCATCCAAGTATAAACTGTGGGTTCCACCATTTGTTGCAAAAAGCATCAAGACGCAAAACAACAAATTGAAAGTGGAGCTCGGCTGAAAATCGCTTCACTGGTTACAAAGCGCCAACAATATCAAGTAAGAAGTTCGTAAACTTGTTGCCAACGAGATGCCAACTTTATTATACCCCTCTGGTAGAAGGCTGCGTCCTTATTGGCTAAAAACTCGGAGAGCCAATTTTGAGGCCCACTCCTCACCATTAAGCGCGTTCGCCATGGAGAGAAGAAGATGATGATCAAATGGTGCCAGGCCTGGACTAAAAGGTGGGTGTATTAGCACCTCTCACCCGAGCTCCTGGGGCTTCTGGCGCGTCACCAAAGACGTGTGTGGCGTTGTCCTGATGGAACACAATTCTGCCCATTTCGATCTAAGATGATCTGCCTTCAATCGGTCCATTTGTTGGCAGTAGATGGCGAAGTGAGCGCCAATCCCACCGAACACATAGCAAAACCTTCCTGGCTGTCAATACGGTCTTGGTCACCATCTGAGCCGCCTCCCCGAGCTTTGACCAGGACCGTTTGCTCTCGATGTTGTCGTTAGTGACCCATTTTCCATCACCAGTCACAATCCGCTTCAGAAACGGGTTGACTTTTTTGCGAATCAGCAGCAATTCGCAGATGGAAATTCGGTCCGTCATGTTTTTTGCGTTAGTTTGTATGGCACCCAAGCCTCGAGCTTTTTTCTGAATCCAAGGTTCTGGAAAGGGTTCCAAACGGTTTTTTGGTTTATCCTTAGTTCCTCAGCAATTAAATAAGTGCTCATTTGATGGTCTGTTTCAACTATTTCAATGATTTTATCGCAATTTTCGACGACAGCCCTTCCGACGCGTGCTGCATCTTTGACATCGAAATTACCGGAACGGAACCTAGCAAATCACTTTTGTGCTACACGTTGGTTTACAGTATCGGGCTCATAAACTAAATTTATTTTTTCAGCCGCTTTGACTGCTTTTTCGCCTTGATCAATGAAAAATTGTAGAACATAGCGAATTTTCTCTTTA